AAGGGCTTAACCGTTTGCACCACCCAGGGTCTCCAGATGGACACACAGAATATTTATAAAGTAAAGGTAACTGACAGTCCACGGCAGTAAATGCTGTGTGGCTGACGCTGACAATGAAGTGTGACCCATCTCCCAACATTTCCCTGCCTCTCCTATACCTGCTACTCCAAAGGGTCTTCGGAGTCCAAAGGTGTGCTTTTTGCCTTCCTTCAGCTCCATGTGGCCCACCCGGACAATCTGGCACACTAGGCTGATGCGGGGACGGATGAGGTCGTTGCTGCTGAGGTCCTAAAGAGGCATATGGAGAAGACGAATGAGGAGGTCTAGCTGAAACACCCTGTCAACTTCGTTCCATTCAGAGCTTATTTCCTAATGTTGAAATACCATGAATGACTCCCCTCTTCCCCACACCCATAGAACTATTATATCTGAGAAAATTATCTTGTATTACTAAAAGAAGCACTTTTTTTAACTCCTCAGTTCCTACATCAAATTTATAAATCTTAGATCATATTCAATTTAAAGTCTCTGGTTTATAAATTTAAGTAGGGTGTTTAAAATCAGGACACTCACTGTTGTCACTTTATAACCTGCCAGGTCCTACCCTAGAACAGTATGCATTTCAGGGTCAAATGAAATAAAAACTTGGGTGACACTGACATTTATTGGGTATCCACACAAACTCACGACCTTGCAGCTTCAAAACAACCCTGTGAGACAACCATAACATGGAGTGCTTTCTGTAATTTCCTCATCCGTTTTATGAGTGGTAACCACTGACAGCCTCTCATGTACTGAATAATGAGACTTGTGCAGATGAAGTATCTGTTTTGTGGTGATTTTCTATCGTTGCTTGTATTCCTAAGGATGGGTGAGTAAATCCACGAACAGGTTCACATTCACTTTAGCTGCAGAATTAATTTAATAAATTACATCTCAAAACTCTTTTTATGAAACAGCTATCCAAGGTCTCTTTTACTGATTCAAGAATTACTTTTTAAATAATCATTCCAAATCTATCACCTATAACCCAGCAACAATGGGTGACCA